TTCAAAATTAACTGTCACTTAATATTACTGTTTAATGATAGTCATTTATTTGTAAGTAAAAAGTTTTAACTTTGACTCACGTTAGTGAAACTTAATTCTACCATTCATTTTATTCATTTATATTTGTAAGTCAAATATTTAGACTTCATTTTGTTTTAATTTGCCATATTATAGCCCACCTGAGTGAAACTTAATTCTACCTTTTAAGATCTCTAAAATGTCAAAATCATATATTTTGTTATCTAAATTTTACTCTTTCGATGTCTAGATAATACTATGTTTAATTGTTAATTGTACCAAATTTAAAATTGCCAACACCACTTCAACTTTGTTTCATTTTCTCTTTCTTTTGAAATTCCATGAGTTCAATTCTTGCTTTTCCTCCTCTCCGGTTCTTCTTTCCATAATGTTTTACAGTTTGCATTACGGGTGAGAAGAACTTGTAGATCAAGTGAATTTTTTTATGGCAAGATTATGGAATCAATTGGATCAATTTTTTTTTAGCTTCATTTGCGTATTAAAAAGTCAACATCATGGAGAAAAAAATTAGTACGGACGGATTTTGTTTGTCTTTGTCAAGAGAATTACGGTTTATTAGCAAAAATGTCCGTGCAATGTTGCTAGTTTTAAAACTATGACTCAGGTGCAGTTTGGGATTGAGGTGCTTAAAAAAAAAGCTACTATGAAAAAAGCTATGAGAATTTTTGGTGTTTGGTAAACTTTGAAAAGCAGCTTTGTTTCAAAGTTTAGGGTGAAAAAAAGCCCAAAACCTGAAGCTGACAAGAAACTGCAAATAGCAGCTTCCAAAAACAGCTTATTTTCAAAACACACGGGTGAACAGTGTAGGTTTAATGAAATATTGAATAACCCAAAACTGCCCTTAAATCCAATGGAAATCTGGCCCTTGGTCCCAGCATCCTTGACATAAATCTCGAAGTAGTAGACGAGTAGCTTGACCGGAGCTGGCTTGTTAGCTTGAACTACGCCGACGTCGTGGATGTGAAGATTGACGCTGGTGTACTTAGCGGAGAGCTTATCAGGGAACACGACGATGAAGCCGCCGGAGCTGTTGATGGTGTTGAGCTCCGTGGGGGAGTCCTCGTCCTCGTCGGTCAGCCCCCGAGGAGAGGCGAGCTGCGATTGCTCGAGGAACCACAAGCTGAGATCTCGGTCGCCATGGTGGTGGTTGGTACTGTTATTGGAGTTGGTGGTGCTCATTGTTTGAATCTGAAACCCTAGAATTCAACTACCATTTGGTGGAAAATCAGAGCGGAACGAAGAAACCTAAACCCTTTTCATCGATTTGGGGGACTGAAGTAGGGAGGAGAGCAAGAGATATGGGAATGATCTGTTACTGCCCGTAGAAGGAAAGAATCAAGAATCTTTATTTATTTATTTTTAACAAACAATGAGCTTAACCTCAATAGCACATCTAGTATTATACCCTTTTTGGTCATTTCACACAGTCACAGCTGTTTTACAAAAAAATTTACCAAACACTATCATACTGCTTTTTTTTTTTTTTTTTTTTTTTTTTTCCAAAAGCACTTCTACAAAAAAGTTTACCAAACACTTTGCTGCTTTATTTCACAGCCGCTTATTCTCACAGCACAGCCGCTTATTCTCACAGCAGCTTTTTTTCAAAGCACAACAATACCAAACCAGCCCTCAGGCTACTGCTTTGGGTGTTGGTGGCTCAACGGCATAGCTCGAAGCCACTGCTCGCTAGGTTTAAAAAAAAAAAAAAACCCTAATTTTCTTTCTTTCTTTCACAACATCAATCCACATAAGAGCAATATTATGAGTATAATGCATACACAATTTATGTAGAATCTAAAATTCATAAAATGTAAAATTGGGTCATGCATTATAGTGAAGTTTTATGCAAATAAGGCTAAAAAAAAAATGTCTAGATCGATTTTATATAGAGATTTATAAAGTGATGGGTTTTTGTCTAGAAAATAAGTGTTGTAAGGGGTTAACTCTAAAGCACCATTTTCTTTACCCAATTGTTAATTATAGTCCAAACGATCCCTATAATAAACAGGAAATGATAAACAAACAACCCTTTTAGTGCTTCACACACCCCTTATTTAATCACGTTCGTTGTTTTTGTTTGTTTTATTCAATCTAATTATTGTCAAAAGTAAAGAGTAGTGTGTGAAAGACTAAAAAGAGTGTATATAATCAGCTCCCATAATAAACCCTTCCAATTACTCCATTAATTTAAACAGTAAAATTAGAGCTCAGGTTGGAACTGTAGAAAATTTGATTGAAGAGTCTTTAGTCAACAACTGAATTGATGTTTTGAACCAGTTTTTAAGTATTAACAACGCACAACATAAAGTGTTCCGACATGCTAAAAAAGAAACATAAAACGGATAAACACACGAAAAGAAGTATTAGTATAGGTTTGAGGCCTAACTGAGAGGTTCATAGCCAACATTTCAAACTTTCAACATCCGTTCAAAAACCTATGAGCAGGCAAAGAAAATATACAATCGCTTTGGCAGAATCCATGAAAACTTGATCCTATTAATCATAACTTCAGTGTTTTTTTCTTAACATGCACCGAAGTACAATTTTACTTTTATGCTAACTAACTGCTCATCTACAAGACTACACAGCACAAGCAACATTTTTCTTGACCTCCAAGAGTTGGGTGACACGTTGGGTGTGCAGCTTTGTATGGAAAAGTTGTATCAGTCTCATAATTGGGAAAACTCACCAACTCCCCTACTTGGCAACTTTTGCTCAAAAAAGCTCACATATCATATCATAGTTGTCTACCATTTTAGCCCAAAAAAGAAAAGGACTAAAGACTAAGTGTTTGGGAAATTATAAAGAAATTATGATAAAAAATTTACAATAAAATAATATTATTTTAATAAGCACTTAGATAATTAGGCTAAGGTGCGGGTATCTCTCTCTTTTTAAAGAGATTCAAACCCACAATGGTTTGACAAAGTCCACGAATCGATGCTGCAATATATTTCTTGACTTGTCTATTCCAGAATACAAAAGCCCAATTGAATTATTGTGTGACTCAAAGTTATATGCACAAAAGGAAAAATCCAAAGCTCCACCGCAAGGACATCCTTCTTCGGCCAGTAAGTAAAAAAGGAAATAATGGCAGAATGGAGAGAATAATTGTTGCAGAAGAAATTGAGTAGTGGGATAATAAATAAAAATGATGATGGAGAAAATGCTACTAATTATAGATTTAGTATCACCCTTAGTGAATAGGGTAATAAAACACAAATTAACAAGAAAAGAGTTACAATAGTTACATAAAACGAAAGGCTAATAGACTCCACCTTATTTTTCCACTAATTTACTCATTTATTTAAAAATAAGAATTCACCAACACTACAGTTCCACCGTCATCCTTATATTGCAACAATCGGCTTTTTTAATTTAAATTTGAGCTGAATGTAAGAGGGTTTGTAATTTAAATAGCTAAGAGCTCTTGTGTTTGGAATCTTGTTATCGATTGTCTTTTCTTTCATTATCCATCACCGACAAGAAAAATGAAAAAGAAAAACTCTGGAAATAATTAGTCACCACCTCATGCATCAATGATTGGTGGAGTGAATGTTGGTTCCCTGTTAATGCTATGCACATGTTAATCACCAAATCCTTGAGCCATATTAAAATGTGAGGTTTAATTATGAATGCTTTATTTCTTCCTTCCACACAGTAACATGCAGCACAGCCAGCCATTCATGAACACAAAATTGAATGGCTTTGTGCAAAATAGCAAGCACGCAATGCAGCCAGCTGAAGGCCAACTTCCTAACTTCTTTAATATTTAGATTCAATATATCTCAACTTTTTATTTCCACCTTTTTTTCCTTTGTTAGTAAGGAAACAAACAAAATCTAAGCCCAGTAGGGATACAGGTTCTCTACAAATATTCATCGAAATTCGAAGCTATTTGACTATTGAATTAAATGGTAGTCATATTAATCGGTTTATCAAATTTGGACCGTATTTGAATCAATTTGAATCATCGAATCTAACTTGTCGACCCATATTTGATTAGCATTGGGTTCAAATTGAATAAGATCCTTATCGAATCTAATTTACGACCTAAAAAGATTAAAATATCATTGCTAAAAATACAATATTTATTTATTAATAAAATGAAGGTATAAGTTTATTTTATATTCATAAAAAGGCTTAAATTCCTCACATAAATATGATAGTTAAAAATAAAAATAAAATAAAATAAAATGTCAAATCAGGTTATTATCAAGTCGGATCACTCTTAATTTATATATGGATCCATTTATAATCGAATTATCTAATTCGAATAATCGGATTGGAAATCTCCATTTCTATTAATTCGGATTTACTATTTGTAAAAATCTGATCCATTGACAGATGACATCTCTATAATTGTACTAAAATTGCTTCCACATTTAAATTCAACATTTTATTTCCATATTTTTCATCATTTTGTTTCTAGAGGGAGCAATAACGTTAAAGGGTTAAATAAAAAATAAAATATGATTGTGCTCCACCATTATGATAAAACGACTTCTAACATTATTTTGTTTCTTTATTACCAAGGACACAAGCAAAAGTAGAAAGCAAAGAGTCCAAATCTGCTTTTTATACGCTCGTTTGAAAGTATTTTTAAATTAATTAAAAGTGCTTAATAAAAAATGCTAATGAATGTAGTAAAAGTATTTGAAATACTTCTTGTAAAAGAACCGCTTCAAGCATTTTTAACATCCAAAAATATATTTTCTTAAAATATTTTTAATTATTTTAAAAGTACTTTTCACACAAGCTTATATTTAGCACCCAGTTTAACTGACCCCACATCATTCCGTACCAAGGACCTGGACGTATCTTTACACGTACTCACTCTCTCTCTCTCCTCACTCATTTTTTTTATAAATATATCCCTCATTTCCAAACGCCCGGACACCAAAACCAAAATCCCAATTCCTTAACCCAACAACTCTGGCTCCTCTGGGTCCTCCTCAACGCATGAGTGAAGGAAGAGGACAATCACCGCCACCGTCACAGCCGCCACCGTTGTTGTAATCATCGGATTCAAGCGATGGAGAGCCCGGATTTTTCACCACCCCACGTGGATGCATCACGGCCGTCCTTGGGCTTCCCTCTTGGCACGGCTCTCCTCTTGATCATCATATTTAGCCTCAGTGGAATCTTCTCGTGCTGCTACCACTGGGACAAGCTCAGATCACTCCGTAGATCTTTCAACCAAGATGCCGACCCCGAGGCCGACGTCGAACCGCCATCTCCCACCAAATCTAAACCTGCCCACATGGTAACTAATTAATTACTTTCAGAAGTTCAGTAATTTTACTTTATCATTGCTTCCCTCTCACTCTCTCTCTCTCTCTCTCTCCCTCCCTACTATGTTACTTTTTTAGACCGTAAATTTAAATAATAATTTAGATTCAAGTCTTTCATCATAACACATCGTATTATATGTTGTCATACTGTGAATATGAACGGTTTATATCATAACATGTCGGATATCAAAAACAGAACATTACCCTGTTTTTGTTTTCTTTTATATTGAAGAGATTAATGATGTTAGTTATTTCTTAATTAGGATTTGAAGCAGAAGCAGAGGCAAAGCTTGCCCGTGATAATGGCAGGGGACCAGATTCCAAAGTTTATGGCATTGCCATGTCCTCGAGAACCTCCGAGAGATGACAAGATTGCAGTGAAGGTGCAGAAGCAGCCCAAGCCACCTCGATTTTCTGTGCCTCTGTATTAGCAAATTTGTTAATCAATTGGTGTCTTGTAAATATTACATAATGATATATAATGTCTACCATTCAATTACACTTGTAGCTCAGTTTTTTTATAAGACAGAGAGATTAATCACAAATTTTCCACTATCATTACTCGCTTTATTTTTATTTTTAATAACGATATTCTACACTAAATAAAGAGAAAGATTTAAACTTAAAACACAACGGTTAAAAGAGAAAAACTTTAGCCATAAGGCAATCCATCACTTGCACTCATTACGGGTTTAATTTATTAGATTTGGCAAAGTCAAATACGATCGCCACTATTTGGCAAAGTAATCATTTTTTTGGGTGCAAGTGTGTGTTAATTGAGTGCGTTGCTAGTTGCTGTACTTTCTTTTACCGGGGCTTTCTAGCAAACTAGGCATATCCTTTTAAGTACTACGAATGTTGATTAACATTTTCGAAAGACCTAACTGATGGTGATTAAATGGAAGTGGAACCATTCGGATTCGGTGCGGTAATGATATGCTGCCAAAATATCCAACTCAGATTTGGATTGCCTAGTGGAGTTAACTTGAAAAGGCAGCTTGGCAGGCTTGAAGTTGAAGGGAACACCAGCTTTTGGATTTGGAGAGTAATATATTGCAGATTGATATACTATATAAATATATGGGAGGAGAAAACTAAAATCAATCTACCATTCATATCATCCACCATCCTATAATGGCTGTGTGGCACTAGACTTTTTATTTCTACTAGTTTTAAAATCCTTAGTGTTGTTTTTTTTTTTAATATAAACGATATTATTTACATCAAGAGAAGGGGGATGAGCTAAATCTCATAATGGGCTAGCAATAATATGGTTCAAATTCACTTTTAAAGAGAATCGAATCTAAGACCTCTCATTTACAAATGAAGAAAAATATCATTAGACCATAGTATTAAGTGACATTAGTGTTGCCTCTTAAGTACGGTTGAAATTTCAAACCGAAGGACCTCTTGAATCAACTGAACCGGCCGGAAGTCAAATATATTCATAAGTTTTGAACCGGTAATGAAACCAAACCAATCAAATTTTAAAAATAAATCAAAGTAAGAGTGAGAAATATTTCAAAAGTAAGAGCCATCATTAGTTGGACCGCAAACCACTCTTACATAAGAGTTTAGCACCAAACCACTCACTTATATTCTTAGAGCATCTCTAATGTATCGGAGATTTAGGACTTAAAGTTGGGAGCATTTTTGTTTACCACCACTAACTTTGATGAGTGCTTACCTCTCTCTAATAGCTTGTCACGTGTTCTCTCACCAAATCATAGTTAAACTGTGATATTAACTGTTTCTAAAAGAATAATAAATTATTAAAAAAAAAACATTATTTTTCCTCTCCATCTGCCCACTCCTCTCCCTTGCAATCTGTCAATCCGAATCCGTCATTCTCAAAAGCTCCACCACCGTCCCTAAACTAGGCTTCCGTGGTACATTGCTGGATTAATATCCACCCCAATCTTCTTCTCCTTCACCTTCATCGACTTCCACGTCAGATTGGCGGTGGGGAAGATCGCCAATCTTGGCAGCAACCACGCAATGAACGTCCGAATCTGCGGAATCGGCCATTTGGGTTTTACTTTATTGGAGATTTTTAACATGGGATCGACAAAGATCCCACCTTGGAACACCTCTAGGACGAAAAAGTCGAGGTTTCACCATAAAATTAATTGACGATATAGAAAGTAGTCTAACTACTTATAAGAACATGCAAACCGAGGTGATATTTAGATCTAAGTTTAAGTTTCCGGCCAAAATGAGATTTAAGTTTGAGTTTAATAAGAGATTTGAATCTAAGGTGAAGGCTATGCCAACAAAGAAACATATTCCACAACCAAGAAAAATAAGATTTGAGTTTATGTCCAACGATTTCCAATGCTTATACTCAAATTTTTAAAACTCAAATTCTAATTTTGAATCCCATGTTTTCTCCTCCAAATAAAAACTCAAATCTTAAAATTCAAAAGATAAGAATATAGGTATAAGAGTATAAGTCTTTGCATTAAAGAAGAAAATCAAATTTCTCAAACTCACCACCTTTTTTGCACTCAAATATAAGAATATAAATTTAAGATTTGAGTCGTAGGAGATGCTCTTAACTATATTTGGGTCTTAAAAATGTGGTGAGTTTGGGTATTTTGATTTTCTCTTCCAATGCAAAGACTTATATTCTTAGACCTATATTTTAATATATTCTAAAGAAGTAAAAAAATGGAATCAACTCAAAATTGTGCATTGGAGGTCTTGGTTGAATAAAATTAATCCTTGTTGACATAGGCTTCACCTTGACTCAAATCTCATATTGAAACTAAAATATGAGTCACTTTTGTGGGAAATTCTATCACATCTCGGTTTGGGCCCCCACCACATTTCGGGCTTGACACCACTATAGCACGATATTGTCCGCTTTGTGCCCTGACCACGCCCTCAAGGTTTTGTTTCTGGGAACTCACATGAGAACTTCCCAATGGGTCACCCATCCTGGGAATGCTCTCATGCGAACTCGCTTAACTTCGGAGTTCCTACAAAACTCGAAGCTAGTGAGCTCTCAAAAGGCCTCGTGCTTGGTAGAGATGGGAATATACATATAAGGCTTACATGATCCACTCCCTTGGGTGATGTGGGATCTTACAATCCACCCCCCTTAGGGGCCCGACGTCCTCGTCAGCACACTTCCGGCCAGGGATTGACTTTGATGCCAAATTGTCACATCCTGGCTCGAGTCCCCACCACATCCTGGGCTCAACACCACTGTAGCACGATATTGTCCGCTTTGGGCCCCGACCACGCCCTCACGGTTTTGTTTCTGGGAACTCACACGAGAACTTCCTAGTGGGTCACCCATCTTGGGAATGCTCTCGTGCGAACTCCCTTAACTTTGGAGTTCCTACGGAACCCGAAGCCAGTGAGCTCCTAAAAGGCCTCGTGCTAGGTATAGATGAGAATATACATATAAGGCTTACATGATCCACTCCCCTGGACGATGTGGGATGTTACAAATTCAAATATGAATTTTTAAGAGTAACCTGCATTGGAGACACTTTTTTCTCATATCAAAACTCAAATATGATATTTTAGTCCTAAATCCCTATGTTCTTTCTTAAGTGTGTATAAAAATATATTTAAAAGTAATCTAGTGAATATAACTTACAAATGAGATTAGTTGTAGGGCCTAGACCACATCGAACTTCAACGATCTGAACCGTTTATTTTAAAAGTCTCGATTCATAGATCATCTTTGGAAAATTTCAATTCAATCCGAAACCATTTGCCTATTTAATTGTTACAATGAAATTTCAATGTTTCTTAGAACAATGTGTTCGTTAATTTAGATGCCTGGAATATATTATATTTGGCTAATATTTTACAAGGATAATTTATGAGGTGTAACTTGAATCTTTGACGTTCGATGTTGTGTGAGCCCCACCACTAATTCCTTTTTTTTCTTTTTTTTTTTTAAATGGAGATATCTTCCATTAAGGGTTTTGTATATATACATGTCCTATAATTTTTTGAAAAAAAAAATGGAGATTAGTTGTGGGACTCAATCACATCGAATTTTAATGATCTAAAATGTTTATTTTGCGAGTCTCATCTTTACAAAAACTCAATTTAATCCAAAACCAATTGCTCTTTTAATTGTTACAATAAAATTTCAATATTTCTTAGAACAAAATGTTCGTCAATTTCTTTGAACTCAATTAGATGCCTCAAATATTTCCGCTTTGACTAATATTTTTGAAGGATGATGTATGAGACGCAACTTGAAAAATTAATTGTTCAGATCATTGAAGTTTGTTTGAATAACGATAAATATACATCAAGTGAGAGATTTTGACTAAGCCATATAATGAGACAATCACTTGATATCGAACTCACTATCCACATGAGTCGAACCTTAGACCTCTCAGTTACAAGTAAAAAAAAAATCACTTTCCAAAAACTCTTTTCAAACTTGATGTGAAATGTATATTATCTGCATGAGTAGAGATCAAGTGGAGACAATTATATAAAATATATAAAACCCCATCTCATGATTAAAGTACATCCAGGATGATCTCTTTATGAGGATTTTGAAGATTCTCAAATCGTGTCCGTTTATCGTATATTGTGCGATCAGTTTTCATCAAGTACTATTCATATTTAATTTAAAATAAAAGTATTTAAAATGATTTCTAACTGCACGATATTCGATAAATGGATAAGATTTGAGGATTTTGAGAATCCTCACAAAGAGAATCCTCCTTCAAAGTACATATAACCACATTCCAGTCTGGTATAAATGATAGAAATGGCCACTAAATTAGTATATTCAGCCAATTGAAGAATTCCATGTTCTTTGGAAGGATTGCTTTGTTATTGGGAGCACGCCATGGTTAAATGTCAAGCATATTTGCCTTGTTAATGATGGCTGACAAGTGATAAGTACGTCAAAATCTTTCAACGACTTGGTCTAGATGAACGAGGATCCTCTTGTGAGGATCATAGGAATTCTCAAATCGTATCCATTCATCGTAAATCATGCAGTCAGAAATTATTTTAAATACTTTTATTTAAAATTAAATGTAAACAATATCTGACAAAAATTGACCGTACGATATACAATGAACGAACACAGTTTGAAGATTTCTGGATCTTCACAAAGAGAATCCGAAGAGGATTCCCATACGGTCTAGATATCCTTCTAAGCAGAAAGTACATTGGTGGTCTAATTAAATCTTACATAAAGGGAGAACAAATCAGTAGTTAACTTTTGTTTTCAGGACCAATACTCTACTCTTCAGTCACTCAATTTACATGGCTAGAGACGACCGATTTTAAGCCGAAAAGTGTATTTGTTGCACCATCGTAAAAGCACCCAATCAAGACCAACGAGCACCACTACCAGCTTATAAATAATAAACTAGACAAAACATACGATTATGTTGCAATACAGGCTAATGTATAGTGACAATCTGAGAGCACTCTCTCTAATTCTCATTCTTCATGTCCTTAATTCTCTTGTTTTTTTTTTTATCAAAGTCATTTAGGTATGGATCG